CACGTTTTATAAGAATTTAGATGTCACAAGTGTAAAGCTGCCCAAGGACCCATGAGGACTGCCGAAAGCACCTGCAGCAGTTCCGATGGAGAGCCAGTTCTGAGAATTTTAATGCCCACATCAGGCCTATGAAACCTAAAGAGAGGAAATCAGCGTCAAGACCAACTTAGGCTCCTCCCACCCCCTTTGATTATTTGGTTCTTCAAGGATTTTACAGAAGCTGAAGAACACTTTACAAGCAGAAGGAAAACAGTGGTTTGAGCCTAAGTCCCCTCCATCTCTTTGTCACAGAGCCAGAGGCTACCAGCATATGTGCATGGATGGACCCATAGTTGTCCTGCTGCTTTCTCATCCAGGATCTTGTACACGGTTTATCAACAAGGAAACTGAGACTCACAAAGGCCATAGGACTTGTTCACAGTAAATGGCAGGTCCAAGATTTCCGACTCTTGGTGCAGCATTGTGTCACTTCACCCTGCTGCTCTCTCTAGCTGTGTCCCAGACCAGCACCACTGGCAACACCTGGGCACTTGTTAGGCATGCACAGTCCCACCCACACCTATGGAAACAGCAGCTCTGGGGGTGCGGTCCAGCATCCATGTTTTCATGAGCCCTCCAGGGATTCTGAGGCATATTTAAGTTTGAGAACCACTGCTATAAACAGTAAATTCTACATTGTGTTCTACATTTTAAAAATTTCTGATAAACCACCTTTAAAAGCCAAAGTCTCAAAGGAGTCATGTTCTCTTTTGATGCATGGTGCAGTGGGGCACACAGACCTTGGCTCCAACCCTACCCTGTGCAGAGTCGCTTCTGCCCTTGGGTCAGTTATTTACCCTCTCTGAGGTGCAATGTTCCTCTCTGTAAAATGGAAGATACTGACCCTGTAGGTCTGTTACAAAAATGAAATAATGTTTATGGGAAGCCTGACATTTAAAAACACAACAATGACAACCCAGATTACTCTACCCAGCAAAGTTGTCATTTAGAATCAAAGGATAGATAAAGAACTTCCCAGACAAGAAAAGCTGAAGGAATTCAATCAACACCAAACCAGTATTACCAAAAAAAAAAAAAAAAAAGTTAGAGGGATTTCTTTAAGGAAAAAAAAAGATTAAAAAAAAGTAATAAAAAATAAAATGGCAATAACTACATATCTACCAACAATTACTTTAAATGTAAATGAGATAAACGCTCTAATCAAAAGATATGGTAGCTGAATGATTGAGAAAATAAGACCCTTACACACGCTGCTTACAAGAGACCAACTTCAGATCAGAAGACACACACAGATGGAATGTAAAGGGATTGAAAAAGGTATTTCATGAAAATGGAAACTACAATAACAAAAAAAGCTTGGGTAGCAATGCATATACCAGACAATATGACTTTAAAACAAAAGCTATAACAAGAGACAAAGAAGGACCCAGTAATCCCACTTCTGGGTATTTATCCAAACAAACCCAAAACACTACTTCGAAGGGGCATGTGAATTCATATGTTCATTGCAGCATCATTTACAATAGCCAATATATGGAGGCAGCCTGGGTGGCCATCAATAGATGAAGGGATAAAGAGATGGTACATATATACAATGGAATATTCCTCAGCCATAAGAATGAAATCTTGCCATCTGCAACAACACGAATGGACAGAGAGGGTACTGTGCTGAGTGGAGTAAGTCAGAGAAAGACAAATGCCACATGATTTCACTTACATATGGAAGCTAAAGAAAAGAAAACAGAAACAAACTCATAGATACAGGAAACATTTTGATGGCTGCCAGATGGGAGGGGGGTTAAGGCAATGGATGAAAAAGGTGAAGGGATTAAGAAGTACAAATTGAAATTACAATCAATCAATCAATCAATCAATCACAATGGTTTCTTCCCCTACTTGACTCCATAATGGAGGCTACTGCCTGAAATAATCAGAAATTTAATGTGCATATAAGCAACCCTGTAATTTACCTCATTTCGCTGAGAATGAACCCAAAATGATAGGCCTTTTTTCCTTTTTTTCAGTGAATTAAACCTGATTTATTGTGGTTTTGGACTTCTGAATACCATTCCAAACTTTGAAGTTAAAGAGTTGTACTTAAAATTTTCAAGTCATGAGTCTGGGCACCTGTGTAGGGTTTCCCGCCAAATTTTATTATTTTTAACAAGAGATGTCCCCTGCCACAAGGGTGAAGCAGCAGAGTACTGTGAGCAGGACAGAAAAAGCTAAACTGTATCCAGAATTCTCTGGGCAAATGAGACCATTAGTGTATTCTGCAGGACTGCAGGTTCTGGTTGGCACTGTTTAAATCTAAATTATACAGCCTGTGCTCCCTGCTTCCTTGACAGTGATAAGATCTGATTCTATGTGAGGCTGATTTAAGGTAGGTCCAAGCTTGGTGCCTCAATCCACCGACTCGCCTGCAGGGTAAACTCTACTAAGAGTTTCCTAGCCTCTCCAGTCACCTGTCTCAGCCTGGCCTTTGCTTTAAGGGAAGATAAGTTATTTCTTCCTTAGTTCCTCGGTTTTGAAGGAATTCAGTTCTTAATACTTGGTTCTATTCATTTCAGTGCAACAAACTAAAAAGGGTCTAGAGTAACAGGGAGGCAACACAACTGCCTGAGTTGACATCCTGCTTGCCTCACGTAACCGCGGGCAGGTTAGATAACTTCGGTGCCTCAGTTTTGTCATCTGTAAAATGGGATGGTGGCACCCACCTTTCAGAATTATACTGAAGATTAAGTGAAATCATATGTAAAAAGCACTTTGTTAAGAATATAGCCGGCAGACAATGCATCTGCTATTATTTCAACTCCTTATTTTGCCAATTGCTTCTT